AATTGATAAGCTGTCGGCAAACATGGTCTTGAAACTAATGTCCAGTAACAGCCTGGTATACAATAAAATAGCATCGCTAAACGTTAGTATCCTCACAAAAAAATACTGGGAAAAGAAAAAACTCCCTCCCCTTTTAAAAGCGTATTTGGAAACAGTGAAGTTCAATTTTATTTTATATAAACATGACATTTTGCCTACATATGAATTGGAATTTGAATCTATTTGTGCCGAATTGAGTGTTACATCGCTGAGGGATTACTCCCAGGTCCCTTCGGCGATTGTGAATTCAATGTTTCTTGGTGACGTTTTGTCTTTATACCCATCTCCATACATTATATTCACGGACGGATCAAAAACGGAGGTTGGAGTGGGATGCGCCTGGTACGATCCACAGAAAAACAAATTCGAAAAATATAAACTTCCTTCAGAGTTCAGTATATATTCTTCTGAACTTTTTGGTATCTTTAAGGCAGTAGAGTATGTACACGAAGAAGATGTAAAAAGCGAATCATTATTAATTTTGTCAGACTCAAAAAGTTCCTTGGAGAGTCTGAAGAATTTTAACCTTAATTCAGATAACAACTATCTTGTATCATGGATAATTAAAAAGGTCCTCGACGTTAAATCGTCAAAAGGAGTTAATATACGATTCCTATGGGTGCGTGGTCACACCGGCATCAGGGGTAACACTAAAGTAGACGGTTTGGCAAGAGAGTCCGTACTAGATGGTATAGTATCTCCTATCACCCTCCCTTTGCAAGATGCAAAAAGTGCAATTAAGACCCAAAATTGGATAAAGTGGCAGAAGTATAGTGAAAGTATACAAACCGGAAAATTCTACACTTCTATAAAACCTCAGTTGTCCAAAAAGCCTTGGTTTCAAAATGTTCCATTTTCCAAGCGGGATATCACAATTATAAATAGGCTTAGGTCTAATCATGGAATTTGTGGAATTTACCTTCATAAAATAAATCAAAAGCAGAACGATCAATGTAAATTCTGCAAAGTCTCTGAGGACTTAGAACATAAGATCATGATATGTCCAGGGTACTTAACTGAGAGGAACTATTTTTTGAATAGGTTATACGGTAAGAAGGAAGTGGCCAAACCCATAAACTATAAGTCTCTTTTAGCCTTAAACAACAGTGTAATATATGGACATCTCCTAGATTTTGTTTATAAGTGTAACATGAAAATTTGAAATGAGTCCCTTGTCTTAACTAGGGAGGGCTGTGTCCGTCGGGGGCTGGGCGCGGCTGGCTTGTCTGCGGTGGGTGGGTGGGGTTGGTAGGGCTCTCAGAGCAAGTTTGGCTCCGGGGGATTGGGAGATGTGGACTTTTCCACATATCTCGATGTAAGGTTTTTATCCACATCTCCAAAACGGTCCCTCGAAATGAATTTAAAATTAGGCCTTAAAGATTGAGAATATGAGAGAAGAGCCCTATCATTCCCTGTTCGTTCGCTGCGGCCGGGTTGGATGCACGGCTCTCGAAATCGGTTCGTTGGCTAATGTATAACAACGAGGCCAAAAAAAAAAAAAAAAAAAAAAAAAAAAAAACCAATTGAAAGAAATAATTTGGTCAGTAGAACACTAAATATAATGGATTTATGTTAAACTTGATTTACATGGAATTGGTAACCGTTTAATTTCATAAAATTGATTATTGACTTTACAATAATTAGATAGTAGGCGTATATTTATGAGGTTTATTATATTTTTTTACAAATTCGTTAATAGGATTCTCCATAAGTTTTGTACATTCTTTCAATTAATTATTCTTTTTATGTAAAGACTCAGTTGAGATAAAAATGTCAGTGTTCGGTTAAATACGCCGTTGCTCTACCACTTGAGCGATCGAATCGAATCCTGATTACACGACATTTGAAAATGGCAAAAAGAGGGGAAATTCGAACGGTTTTGTTAGAGAAGGAGAGTTGGTGTCCGAGAGGATCGAAGTCTCGATATCTTAAGTGGTAAAGCAGAGGTGTATTTAGCCGAAGATCGTGGGTTCGAATCCGGCTCATGACACTGAATTTTTTATCTCCACCAAAACCTTAATTAAAGATTGCTTAACACTAATGAGCTGCGATAGACCCTGAGACCATCATCAATATAAATAAATCTTCTATGCGTTGACTTCATCATTTAAAGAATTTGATTTTTATCAGTTTTAAACTTTATATTTCTTTAACGATGTCTAATGAAAAAATTAATCACTTGATGACTTTTTGAATAGCGATTGTTTACCGAAGAAGTGCTCGTATAACCAGGTCACTAATCTTCACTACAAACGGACTAGTTAAGAAGTGATCAATTTAGATCAAAATTGTGTAAAAATAATATAAATATATTGGCCCTTTTCCTTTCTACACAGGAGCAAGCGATGATCAACCTGTGCCCGACATATTTTTTCAAAATGTCATAGGCACAAACAACTGGTTATTGACGTGGATTACCTACCTTCATGAATATTTTTTATGTGTAGTGATTAGTGACCGTTAATCGATATTTATTTAGAAATCGTGAGATGCGGTCTGGTGTGATGTAGGTATCAGAAAAACATTTTCTTTATCGTGCCAACGTTTCGATCTTTATTGAGATCATCTTCAGGGCCTGGGATTTATAAACAATGTTTACATTTAACAATTACATTTTGGATGTGAAAAAGTGAATTTATACAATGCAAAATATATTTTTTATATATTCAATCAAAGTATTTCGACTTACTCAAAGTGTTTGTCTTCTGTGTAATTGTGCCATTCTTGCGTGCCATTCTTGTCTTCACTTTTCACACAATCTCATTTGCCACGTATTTTTGCAATAAAGATAAGTCTATTTTTTAGCAAGACATAAAATTGATATTTGTTTTTGCACTCCAAAAACCATAATACACTTTTTCTTGAACACCCATTTTTCCCACAATTTCCGTCTATCGAATTTTCTAAAATTCTCAAAAATGGCGATGACTTTGCAAACGACTTCAGCGACACACAAGCATCTTTACAGGTGATTTATTCCCCTATTGCACGTAACGTCACAAACGTAGACTTTGCGAACGTGGACCTCGTTTGCGAGAAAAACCAGTCATGATAAAATATTCTTCACAAGACATAGAATGAGGCATCCATTACGTATACACGGTATTAAATGGCACAGAGATTATCATCACGGTTATTCTTTACGATGAGCTTATACCCGTGAGGCAAATTGTTGTAGAATACATAATTTTTCAAAACCTTATAGATTTACATAATTTACATAATTCTTTGCCCGATTTATTCAGCCATCGATGGAGGTGTTTTGATGGCTCGTTTTGGTTACTTACATCATCCAATCTTTTCAAAACAAACTTAAACGTAACTTTCTAGAAATGGTTTACATCAACAGAGATACATACAGCATCAATTACACAACATACACATGTAAACGCAGTCGCAGTTGCGCTAATATCAGTAATCAAATTCAATATCGATAACATACATATATCATCATCACATCACTCAAAACATATGATACAACATATAAAACAATCATCACATTCCACACATCAAAAATTTCTACATAGTCTAATTCTTCAACAAGTTGGCTTTCCTTCCCGCAATTATCCCCGTCTATATAATCCTGAAATAATAATCAGGCCGAACCATTACCCACCCCTTCAAAATCCAACGTATATAAACATAAAGCATCAATATCTCACTGGCACACGACACACAAGAATCACTTTGAGTAAGTACAAATACTTTGAGTGAATATAAAATTCTCTAGCATTGTATAAATTCATTTTTTTTCACATCGACATGTATTTGTAAAATTTAAACAATGTTTATAAACCCCAGGCCCTGAAGACGATCTCAATAAAGATCGAAACGTTAGCACGATAAAGAAAATGTTTTTCTAAAACCTACGTCACACTAGGCCCATTTGACGATATCCGAATATAAATAATCATTTATAACAGAAACGAAAACGTAATAAATGACGATCCAACAAAATGAAAAAAACTTCGTGGTCAGAAAACTCAATTATCTCAAAAATGATATTGCTTTATGTGGTTTTATGTTATTATTATTTTTTTTTTTTACAGGATCGATTTTGAAGCAAAGCACCATTCACCGGCCAGAAGAAACTGCCCCAAGCGAATCCTCTCTAACCTTTTTTGATTTTGTTATTTGTGTTTTCGCTGTTTTTCGGTGTAAACCTCTTACAGTGTTTGCTTTTATTTTATTTTTTTTATTTATCACATTATTTGTTTTAATAAATTTCTAAATTAAATTTTTTTTTCAACCTCAACAGGTCCCCTTACACAGATCTTTAACCGTTATAATTATAATTATATTATAACGTTTCCGGGATGGACCGCTGGGCGGCGATCTGGTTTTACAGGGTTGAATCCTCTCTAACCAGCCCAATTTTTTGTTGCCCATAAAAATTGTCGTATTAAGTATTAAAAAGAATCCGAAATATTGTGAAAAGCATATATCATATATATAAAATAATCCTGAAATACAAGCACAATGAAAGCTGAAAGCCAGAAAAAGAACTAATAACTAACTAACGGTCATTAATCACTACACATGTAATAAAAAATAATTATACTGTTTATCTAAGGTCGTTGTTGAGATGAAAACCCTCTTGACACTACCTTTTTCGTCTCAACCAATACCTTAGATAAAAATTATAATTAATTTAAATAATTAATACGATGAATTATGAGTACTAAATATATATATATATATATATATATATATATAATATGACTTTAATTTTGAAAAATGGGAAATACTGGTTTTCTTAGAAATTCCGTCATAACCGATAAATTTAACTGAGGATAACATGAAATAAGTATTGTTAAGTTCTACTTCACTCAACTACTTAGTTTGACCCATCGTCCAGGGTGTTCGCGTTCCTAGTTTAGCCATTCTATATTGATTTATTTTACTTTACTGAATTTAAATATTAAAAAAACATAGATAATGCATAAAATATTTCAACTTACAGCTATTGTCTGACGCTGAGCTATAAATTTCTTCCGTTCCAAGGAGCTGCAGCCTTTTGAGCAATTTCATATTCTTTGGCGAGTTTTCACTCATGACGACATAGCAGGTTAAAATCGTGAAACCCTGCCGGTAGAAAATAAACAGAAAAATTCGTAATAATTAAAAAATTATTATATTTTTTAACTGTTATAATTAAAACACCGGCTCACCATTGCACTGCTAGATACGCTGAATACGCTCTGGTTGGCAGAAGTAGGATTATTGGCATAGATGATACTGGAAGTCGCCATTATCACAGTCACGATGAGAATCACAACTGATCTTTTAATCAAGCCGACCCTAAAAAATATAATATAACTGCTTTCTCGAATATATATTTCCAGATAAAATTTTCATACGTAGTGAAGAAGTATTGTATCTTATGAAGATCTTATTTAAGGAATTTTATCGGGAATACAAATAGGCACATTACAAATAGACAGAACATTGGATAAAACTTATCCTAACTAATATGTTGTAGATATAAATCTTTGATTCGTTGGTCAGGGATATAAACCGAGTGGATCTATAAAGAGTTAAATTAAAAAGTTGGTTAGAGTTTGATTTATGGCTCTCAGTCGATACGTTTTACGAATCAAATCAATGAATATGTTATGTACATTTTCCTATTTCGACATTTCTAAAATACAATTTTACAAATATCCTTTGGATTTGTTATGAAAGATTAAACAAAGCAAAGAATTATATCGTTTTATTTCTACTCACGGTAGAATTTTCTACCTATATGAATAATTCGCTCTATCTTTATGAAAAATATGCCCTACGAATATTGAGTAGGCTTTTATTTCTATTGTGCAATAAAAATAAGGTCAATTTCCAAAATTTGTTTTAGCTGTTTTTAAAATAAGACAATTGGGTCGAAGGCAAAATATTTCTAAAAGTATTTCAACGAAATATTCAACTAATTTAGATTATTTTACTAATTGTTATTACTATTGTGTTCAGGTGGTTGGATATATTAGTGGAAAAGTTCTAAGCTTGTCCTTGTGGATCTCCTACATCATAGATAGTCGGCTGATAGAGAGACTTGAAAAGTATTTGTCGGTTAGATAGTATTTTAGGATCAGGTAGTTCCGGCTTTGGGAGGCACTCGTAAGCTTCCAAAGCAGCTCTAAGTGACATACCCGACCGAAAGCTTGCTTCACATCTAGGAATACATCTGAGCAGCATTCATTTTTTCTCAAGGGCGGTATTGCTTTATAACTCCACTGTGCTGTGCTGTCCTGCCCATAGAAAAGACGTCCACTTGGTTTTTGCACGAAAAGTGACCAACTTTGGAAATGCATATTTTATCAGCGTTTTAAGTCTCAGACCTGTGCTAGGTCCCAAATTTTAGAAAATTTTACTCTGAATAAGGTAGCTTTTTTTAATGTTATATTTTAGCTTCAGTTATTCATCAGTGAATTCAAAAATTCGGGAACATGTTAATTTTTGCACTTTTTATAAAAATTTCAAGTTATTGTGTTGAAGCAGCAAAACGTTCTAGTGCGACGCCCTATAGCAATCAATAGGAAATTTTAATAAGCTTTCAATTCAATTTTCTACTTTGCCCGGGTACTCAACAATTTACGATTTAGTCGCGATTACTCGGCAAAAAACGTAGTTTTTTACACGGTCATGGAAAAATGACCGATGACTCCCTTTCCCTATTTTGGAAAACGAATAAATTTAGAACTGTCATGTTTTTGCAAATTTTATCCTCTTTAACTTTTGTTCGTAGGGCATTTTCAAAAAGTGAACAGAAAAACGAAAATTCTTAATTTTCACACATTGACTTTGGGGTTTTGGAATGTTTCTGTAGTCGATAACCACTTCGTTACCTCGTCACGGAAATTCAACTTTTCCTTCGAATTTCAGAGGTTGTGGCAGTTTTGCTTCGAATAACAATATTGAACCAATCGTATTGAAACAATAGGTTTATTTACTGTAAAATCGGGAGAGAGAGAGTTTTTTTCCATGAACTCCACAGCTCAAGTTAAATTTTTCGTAAAAAGTGCAAAAGTTAACATGTTCCTGAACTTTTTCATTTACTGATGTACGATTGAAGCTTGAAAAATATTTAAAAAAGCAATCTTATTCAATGTAAATTTTTCTTAAAGATGAGACCCAGCGCAGGTCGGACTTAAAAGACTGAGAAAATGTGCAATTCCAATGTTGTTTTCCATTTCTTTCATGCAAAAATCAGGTGGTCTGTTTTTTTAATGGGCAGTGAATATGTGTATAATTAGGATTTCTAGCAATATGAATAATTCGCTATATAATTCTTATGAACATTTCCTATGAAACTAGTGTAGGCCGTTTTTCCTATTCTGCAATAAAAAAAAAAAAGTCGACTACTAAAACATTATGTAATAGTATAATTACATTTTAACAATTACGTGGTGTTCATGTTAAATTTGGTGTAGCCTGGACAATTCAATTTTTTTTTGTTAAATTTTCACTTATGTAGAGACTTTTCATAATATGAAATATTTATAAATTGCATTTACAATTATTGTTTTTCTCTTTTGTAAAGAATGTATTAAAACAATAATTTAGAATGTTAAATCATCTAGTTTAAAAAATTGTTTTATGAAGTGGCTCAGGGCAGTGTTTGAAAAATTACAAATACAAATTTACAATTTTTGACACTAAGAATAACTTCTTTCAATTAATTAATCTTTATGTAAGATATTGGTTGAGATAAAAAAGTCAGTGTCACGAGCCGATTCGAACCCACGACCTTCGGCTAAATCCGCGGCTTCTCTACCACTTGAGCTGTCGTGACCTCGATCCACTCAGACACTAACTTCCTTTTTTCAAATGTCGTGTAATCTATTTGATTCTCGGCGACAAATGAGGGACAATTAAGAAGTTATTTGATCAAACGGACCATGAAATCTAAAGGACCTAATTATTATGGAATAATGATGATTCTAGAATTTTTTGTCTTCAAATTAACTTTTCTTTGGAACAAATTATCTTTTTATATAAAACCTTTCAAAGTTTGTTATTAAGCCAGTAAAAATGTAATAAAACCAGTTTCTTATCAGTCTCTTAGAATATGTACAATTCCATTTTGCCAGATTAGCAATTGACGAATTTTTTAAAGAGAAACTTGTTCTTACGGCCCAATCAAATTATTTCAGTTTCAAAAGTTTCGGCCTAGTTTATTGCCGAAGCTGAATTGTTGTGTCCTAAATTTTTTTATCACTGGGTACCGGGTGCCGGGTCGTTTATAACCCAAAGCGATTTATAATCTTCACCGAGGCCGTGGGCGCCAAGGTGAGGATTTCCTTTGCCGAATACGACTATTTATCCCGAAGCTATACTTTTTGCCGAGCACTTTTTAAAGAGGACACAATCGACCGCAAATTTATCTTAAGGAAATATTAGGATTTACTTCATTTCCTAATTGTCAAAAAGTCGTTACCAAAAGAAAAACTCTTGAATTATTTCTGCTTGAAAAAATAGAAAACAAAAACTCCACATTTATTATTCAACCAAACTCTGGAAAATGAAAATAGAAACTGAACATGTATAAATACTGAAAAAATTCATTAAATAGGAAAATAAATTAAATTTTTAGGCTTCAATGAACGGTAAAATCGTTTATAGGAATTGTTTAGTAAATTAATATTAAATTATTAATTATTCAAATAAATAGATTCATAAGCTATAAACTAAATTATAAGCATGAACGTTTTGTTAGTCAGTTTAATGAAGTTTATAAAACATGATATATTTATGAAGCTCATTTTAAAAAGTAAATAAATCAAATTAAATAAATTATTAATTTTTATGTATTTGAGCTTTTATATATTTTAAATATAACATAGACAAAACTTACACGCTTAAACTACCAAAGAATAAACTTTGATTTGTTTTATTCAATTTGGTGAAGGTTATAAGACATTGTATATTTATGAATCCTATTATAAAAATGAAATAATTAAATGAATAATTTTTATATATTTGAGCTGTGTATTTTAAATGTGACAGTCAAAAGTTACAGACTTTGTAACTACAAACTACCAAAGAACAAACTTTATAAAGAAAATTTACTTCTCAAATATTTTTCTGGCGCAACACGGGTAAAAACCAAATTTGGACTACTTGGAGAAATTACATAAAATTTTGGAACCTGTAAGCCTGAGAGTTACCTCCTGCAACTACACTCTCTGCAGGAAGGAGCTAAGGAGTGAAAGCGTCTTTGTACGATTTCGAACTCTGGGTGAAAGAGTGATTCCGAAGGAGGGGTCAGCAGTGGAACAAGCAGGGGCACGCAAACAGCTGGATAGAGCGGTAGTGGCGTCGTGGTTGGGCTATTTATACGCTATTCCTCGGCCTCATCACTGACGGAAACCTAGGAACACGAAGACGAGAGGAGGGAAGGGCGATGATCACCAGATCGGCACCTGTCTTCGGAGTGGAGGATCAATACCCAAGAAGACCACCCAGCTTGACTGCTCGATTAATCCCGAGGTGTACCCAGTCACCAAATTACAGGACGAAGATGTCATGTTATCGGTGGGGACGACCGGGTCAAGTGGTACGGGACGGGCGACAGAAAGAATGGTATAATTACGGTCCTCTCTGTCATTTTACCCGTCAATGGAAGATCCAACCCTACCACACAACAGTAACCCAAAAACCTACCAAATACGAAGGGAGGATAGGAGCATTCTAGTGGTACACATCAATGGACTAAAGAAACCACCGATAAGGAGTTGGCTCGAGGATGAGTACAGCGGAGGAGTCGGAAAGAGGAAAGGATTCAGCGGAAGAAGGGAACGAGGAAGTAAACAGAGGGGCCTATGCGACTTTATTGCTGACGACATGGGGAGGAAGAAGAGACAGACACGAGGGCCGGTCCAAGAAGACGGGTGAGGAGAAGGATGGCACGGATAAGACAGTACCGTATTGGCTGCGAGGGGAAGATTCCGCAGCTAAGGAAGACGAGCAACAATCAGCCTGTAAATTGCCCCGGTAGGCTGACAACACTCACAATGACGAACAACCAGCAAGTAAGTTCCAATTAATGGTTGCAGGAGTTGTGATGGAGACTGAACACTGGGCGCGGGAAGGTGTAATCTTCGATGAGGAGGGCGAGGTCGCCCTAATAGGATAAATATGGAGATCGTCACGAACGCGAAGATAACAACAATCCAGGAAGATATAGCTGTACTCCGAGACCAACTGTTGCAAACTCAGGAACGACTGACGGCAACGCCCAGCCTAACGGTCTAGTTGAGGGTTAACCTGAATGAACTGGGTCAACTGAAAGGAATTGTGGAAGAAATGGAATCGGAGAGACACTTTTTAAAAGACCACCTGCCGCCGACTCGAATGCAGGGAGGTTTAATTGATGTGGTAGGAATCAAGGTCTTATTCGGAAAACGAATTATATTTACAAAAAATATAAAATTATAAAAACTAGGTTAATTTCTGGCAAATAATTTTACTATTTTGTGTATTTTCTTACAGATATAACTTACATATTTTAATGGGTCATACTTCGTTAAAAAACAAGTTTACTCTTCTTTCAAATGATCCGTTTGATGTTAAAATCCTTTGAGCCGTTTCAATCGGACATTACGACTTCTCGTAAATTTTAAAAATTTTAAGGGTAAAAAATCGGGAAATTTAAATTTTAACAAAAATTTATATTTAGAGGTGCTGAAACGAAATTTTATATTAGTTTCAAGAAGAAAAAGACTTTTGACATAGTTCACATGAAAAATATAAGAAATATTTTAGTTATTGATAAACTTTGATAGCTTTTATTATATTTTTTATTGCAATCGACATGAAAAGTGCGGTAAAATGATCTATTCAAATAGCTGATTTGAGCAGAACGGATAAATAAAAACATTAAAAAACAGAAAATTTCTATTTTCCAAATTTTCTGTGGCGAAACCAGTGGACATATTTTTGAGCGTAGAATCACCAAAACCATTTTGGTGCAAATCCGTGATAGAACAACCAGGTCGTCGCCTTGCCGGATTTTTGAGCGTTACCATTGAATTCTCGTAACAACAGATCCTTCTTATTTATCTGACAATAACTTTAATTTCCGACAAACATTTCTCTAATTACCGGAAGATAAACAAATTCGTTATTTTACTTTACGTTTAAGAAAAAAAATTTACAAAAACTTCGGGGCCGAATGACCTTGACCTAAGTGACTTCCTTCTGCAAAAGAAGGATCGCATTTAAAGATTGAATTTTGACGTTAGCACGTAATCACAAACTTCTTCACTTGCCGACTTTGTATTCACGTCAACAGCGCGCTTAACTGTTAAAGGATGGCAATTAATGAAAAGCTTCCAGCTTTGACCACTATGTTGATTTAACCAACCTGGCGTCTCATTAGGGACTCAATGAAAATTAGTAGTTTGGTTGACCTGTTCTATTCGGATGCTCCTGTGCTATTCGGATTAGACCTGATTTTGCAAATAGAACCTTCAATGAATTACTGAAATAAGTTAACGTTTAAATCATTAAAAAGCAAAAGTACGAGTAAGTAAAAAAAAAATGAAATAATGTGTTGTCCAAAGTTAGATTAAGAAAAGACCTGTCATGGGATTGAATACGGCATGTGAGCTTTTCTATTATTAAATATCCTTTTGAAATTGGATTTTTCTTCATATTATTTCTTCCATCCACATAGAACATACATTGCTTTTATAATTAGTTTTTTTTATCATGTTTCATATTACTGGATAGCACATTTTGGTGTTATAGATAATTTTTATTTGCTGAATAAATCGTTTTTTCCCCTATAAAGAATTAGTTTGTCATTTTATTCCATACTTGGGTTTGAGAGTAAGGAAGCATATTTATTCATGAAACAATCTGCTCTCTGAAAGATGGCAAAGGCGTGGATTCGGATTATCTACTGTAAAAGCTTCGGCCTTTATAAAACAATACGCACTTTCTTGAAGGCAGAAAAAACTGTTTCTGTGAATAGGGAAAAGATTTTGACAAAATGTACGCTATAATTAAGATTTACTTTATGAATTAACTTTCTGCAATAAATTAAAATCAATAATTCAAAAACTTAATTTTTGGTGGTACGTCTTTATTACTTTTTCTGAACTAATCTTTTTTCTTATTTGTTATTTTCTACTATTCTAAAACCGACTCACCGACAAAACTAAGTCAATCAAGAAGAATTGCTACCATATTGCATATTTCATAGTCTTTTCAAATGAAGGATTTTTTAGATTGATTCAAAGGTGAAAATTCATAATATAGAGCCTAGAAAATGCAAAAAAAATTACCTTCTGAGGACGACTCTTTTTCCTCCTTTGGCCTCTTTTTTCACAAGGGAGACCAATTTGCAGCTCAAGTCGGCGACGATGAAAATGTAGAGGGCGAGAAGCACGCCCGCATATGACGTGGTTATGTAAAACATTGTCGTACCTGATTTGAGCCACCACCAGCCCTTATCCCTCGTGTAATCATAGACGACGACGCAGCTCAGGACACAAACTCCACAAAGACCTGGAAAAAATGCACACGATAAATGGCATCAATAAAAAACGATGTAATAACAAGGTGTACAAAAACATTACGGAATGTTCAAATACATCAATTACAAACATTTAATTGGATCGTTTTAATGGTTTAACACCCACGTATTTGTTTAAAGCCTAAATCCAATAAAATCACTCGGAAAAGAAAAAACAATGTTGCCTCAAATTGTTTAATATAAAATTGGACACCCTATAAAAGAACTAGTGAAAATTTTAAAACTTTGGGTGAAAAAGTAATTGACTAGATCATTATACAGCTATGGTCTACCGATTGTGACGAAGGTTTTTTGTTCATCCCCACCCAGCATAATATCCCATGGTGATCAGACTTCTATGATTGTTATCCGGTGTTGTGTTTCTTCTAATTTATTGGAACAATTGTAATTTACCCTCGTAAAAGGAAGGGGTTGTTTAAGCCCGCGCCGAGCAATATCGAGTACTCTTGGATGGGGTGACGTCTGGAAAATAAAAGTAAGTTATTAGAGAGTATGTACTAGGTTTAACCCCACAACCGTAATATAAAGTTCTTTTGGGGTAGTGAATGCGACCCGACTTATATGTTTGTATGAAGTGGTTATGTATATATACAGGACGTCCTTTCTAGATGGCCCGGCTGAATGTCTATTCAACCAATGACGCTACAAAAACAAAAAATACGTGTTTAATATTTTTTAAAAAATATAGTTTAAAAATTTTAAATTTTTTTGGAGAAAATTCCACAGGGTACCTCAGGCCCAGTTCAACTTTAAATTTCAAATACGATCTATACATCTACGTACCCCAGTACGATTCGGGCGAGAATTCTGAAAGGCACAACTCTTGTTCAGTTTGTAAGCCTCATTACTCGTCCTGAGTACCGGACATCCAGTCGGAAATATAGTCCCTGACAACTGCCAACGATTCCATGCATCTTCAGACATCTTTTCTTTCCAGCTAACATGATATTAAAAGTGTTGCGTGGTTGTTATAGAAAATTCCCTATTTTAAAGGGATTCCAATTAATTTTAATTTATATAGTTATAATTTAAGGCAATGTAGTAAAGACTGGACTTTGGAACATTTATGCTACCCCACTGGGATCGCAATGTCACATAACATTGAGGTGCTTTAACGTGCGCACTTAGACGTCAGGCCTTACCACATGTTTAGATTCACAAGTTAGGAGCGACTCAACTCCGCGCACGGAAAATCTGCTTCTTCCGTGAGATACGGTGTAGAACCTCACATCATCCTGCAGCGTGCTGCCGACATGTCGACTTCTCCTACTTGAATTTCTGCTGACCCGCAGTACAGACGGTTATGCACCATCCACCGTCTAGGCAGACAGGATCTGGTACCCTAACCCTCGTATGCAGCTGATAAAGCACCCGCCGTTCCTTACCAACTCGGAGGCCGACACGAATCCAGCTTGTGCTTTAAAGATGTTGCCACGCCCTCAAGGCTGCACCATTATTTTGCGCTTGGTTACCCCTCTTGAATCCAAGGTTTGGGAGAGGTCTCAAGGAAAAGAGTCGAAGGACCTGGATTGAGTAACTGACGTGAACGAGGACAAGAGGCTTGCCTTTTCAGGCTGCACCCCTCGCCTTGACCACACTGTACCACCCAATGTCACCGTAGTTCCACATTAAGTGGGCTATGGCTCCCCTCGGTGGATATATAATTTTAGGCAGAAAAACTTGGCTGGTTTGCCCAAGTTCAGTTAAGGACTCATGATCTCATCCATCTACCGGTTTTTGTGCTGCTGAGGTTTCAAAAAGAATTTGTTTTAATTCCTTTAGACCAGTTTTTTTTTCTTCCTACAGAATTACATTTTTTTCAACTAGTTATATGAACTCTCGGGTCCGGCATTTAAAAAAAGAAATTGTAAGTTAATGTTAATTTGTAAGTAAATTCGTAGCTATGTTTCGAACCCAGGATCTATACCTTAAAGTAATGAGTTGCCGTGTCAAAGCCTTAACTGTTGCGGCCACCGACTTATCGTTAAAGTCGAACTTGGGAGTTGCAACATCATCGAGTATACAAGAAACCCATTTGTTCGAATTTGGAGATTACTAAATTATTCAACACGAGGCTATACCTGGTGGATGCTCTATGAACTCTACCAACTAATTTACTGAGTTTATCTGTTATCACTAGTTTCTCCTGTTTCGGATTAATCCAGCTTCACCTTACACATACTTTGTTAAAGTAAGCAACTTGTTCCACCAAAATATCACTCGGCCTCAATGCTTGTAAAAGCAATGGAAAGTTAGCAGATCATCATGGGATCTCCTTGCACCTAGAATGTAATCTAGACCTTCGTCAGATTATTACTTATTTCGAGTCACGGCTTTCATTTTTGATTGGGTTTCCATTTTGTCAAAATATCAATTATCTCTTAAAAACTGGCTGTTTCTTTAACGTTTTAATTCTATTATATTACAATTAGAATCTCAAAAAGAAAGAAGCATTCATCGTATAAATTGATTTAGCAAGGTAAAATGTGAACGACCAAATGATGTACTACTCGATAAATTGAAAATAACGAATTGCCATTGCATGGTGTGAACTCGGCTTATATTCGTATGTTGTTAAATGAGTTTCTGTTTCAAGCTTTGATCCGAAAAACAACCCAAATGGCGCGATGCCAAATCTGTGTTTCTTGAACAATAAACAACGAGAATAGCCTGACCCGACTGACGTACAAAAGTTCAACATCGCATTCAGAAGACCCTATGAAATGTATAGAATATATGTTTTTCTGTTAAACATAGCAGTTTAAAATGGAAAAAATGAGAAAAATCTATAAAAGAACATAAACCAGTTTGCGGCGTTTCCGAGTAAAATTCCTTTGTAAAAACATTTTTACCGGTTTAATGGTGTGACATCAGTGGCCGCAGCGGTTTAGGCGTTGACACTGCGCTCATGACTGTAAGGTAAAGGTTCAGCGTTAAATGCAGGGCTCCTGGATATACATACTTACAAATGTTTTTTTTTTTTTTTTTCAAAAACACCGGTATTCCGAGGATTCATAAAATCTCGTAGTTGAAATGATATCATAAAAAGAAACTACAATTTTAAATATTTTAATGAAAACCTTTCTATTTTTTGACTTTAAGTAACGTTTTTCTGTGCGTTACAACAACCAAAGTATGCCCAGGCTCAACCCTCCATGTTAGAGACAAAAAGCAAAGATATACTTCAGTTTAGCTTTGATTGAGAAGGAAAAGTGAAAAAATCCTGCTGAAAGCCAATATATCAGGTTTTTATAGAATGTAATATTATTTCATACAACAATTTTAACATTTTGGACAAAAATAATCAACATTTCTATTGCGTGACCTATTTTTATTTTGGTTTTTTCTTTTTTGCCATTTTTAAAAATCAAAGTTGGTTGTTTTAAGTTTGCCCGTAAGGCATTGCTAACATTTTTTAAGCGCCATTATTGTTATTTATTTGCTCGAAGGCGAAGATTTATGCTTTATTCGTTTTATTTTTATGACGCAGCTTGACATCTACGTATATTTTTACTTACGGAAACAATATCGAAACATCTCTCTGTTCTTACATTTTTATATGCTTTTTTCCAACTATTTTGAAGCAAGATCACCGACTATCCACACTCGGGACATTATTGAGATCATGGAAATAATCATTCCTCGGAAATTTCAATTATAGGTGTAAAAAAATATTACGAAAATGTATAATCAGAAAATGTATTCTTATAAACTCTTTCACAAACACATTTCAAGTATTGTTTTTTTTATAGGCTGTTTTGTTTCAATTTCCCCCCGCCCCCGAATGTAATATCAGCTAAAAAATTTCCAATTATCCCAGTTTTCTAATTATTATAAAGGGAGCGAGTACACAAAAGTAGAATTACATGGAAAGTAATAATACGGTGTACATAATATTGTATCGACGGATAAATGAAGCGTGAAGTGATCCTTTAAAATTTTATGTGGTCTTGCTTTAATTAGTATATATATGGGAAAACGTAATACCTGTATGAAACAGAAACGCAATACAACAACCACAAATAACTTTAACCACTTTCGACTGTAAAGAATATAATAAATATAATATTTTGGTAGCCTTTTATGCGTATTACCACATTACCGTGTTTCCATAATTAAAAATTAATTCAATGCAATTAGATTGGATTTTGGATGATTCCACTTCTCGCAGTTCTCGGGCAATCCAGCTTTTGTAATTTCCAATCAATTAACGGCAGGCCAGGAGAATCACCCACCTCGGTGCTTTCAACAGCTAAGTAAATTCAGCACGCAACACATGCAATTCCTAGATCCAACACTCAAACTCATTTTTAAAAACATCTTTCCTATTTGCATACCATTCATTCAATTAGGGAGGTGGAGTAGTCGAAATTCCCCCATCACGCTCTACACATATTACATAAATAATCTAATTGATTGAATGGGGTAATTAATATTCCGCCATCGACACTTTCACACTAACCATTGATACCAACAAGGATTCCTACACGCTCCCTATCTAGAGACAAGGAGTTGCAACTTTCAATTAGGTGGGACACATCGAGCAACGGTTCTCTACATGCGGTCTAATTAATTATATAAATATTGTAGATATTGTAATATTAGCCATATTGTATATATGCTGTTTTGTCAAAATTGCTAAAAGATATTGCCTATACCATATTGACTTAAACATTGCAACGTTTTTTCTCAGAATATATATATTTATAAGTTTACATTTTAAAATATTGTTGAACAGTGTTAATTGTGTTTTGATTCAATTTTATAAATGGCCTGGTAGAAAGTTCTATTATTTCATTTGGCATTTAATATGTATTTTTATTTTATACACGGTGAGTTTAACCTCTGATCCTCACCCTATATTGCTTTTTAGATTAGCTATTCTCTCCTTCTTCGAAACTTTTATTTTGTTTCATGTTTTTCAAGAGCATAAATGGTTTTATCTAATTCTACACGATAGCAGGATACGAAAAGAAGCTTAATTTTTTTATATAACTATTTCAAATTGGGAAGATACTTATCATTGTACAACATGTGGTGTTTTTTATTATATAGATGATCCTAATTTATTCAAGCCTCTTGATGTTGTAAAAATGTTATGCTATATTTTTATTTCCCTAAGACTCAATGCCGTGATAACAGATCTTTCGAAAAGTGCGATATATACAGTCTCAAGAAGTCAATGTTGAGTTCGTTTTGTAATGTGTAGGCTTTTACTAATATAGTCAAAGTAGTGAAACTAATTCAACTTGGAAACAGCAAATATATCTAAAATTTTAAGGCTTTCCAGGCACCGGTCGCTGCAAATGTTGTAAATTGATATTTTCTTTATTGACCATTATGAAATTTATAGAGAAAAAAAAGAAGAATATGTTATCTAATTATGTAATCTAAATAATGTAAAAATATTATAGCATAGTTTCTAATGACGCTTGTATCGTCAGCTAATCGGAAGACTTCTGATCACTAAAATTAAATCGTTAAATAACTAATAATATCTTTATTTACTATCATTATTTTTACTTCTCTATCAGTATTACACTAACTGATATTTACCTGATATTATGATGATAACAGTCTGCTTCAAGTATTTGACCATGGGAAGTTTGACGACTTCTGAATAGACCAATATGAGTTTGGCCAATTGGGACGAAATCGCGAGAAGAATGAAGAACTGGAGTCCAAGTGAAACGTACATGTACGACGACTGAAAACGAAAAAAGTAACATTTTTATAGATAGAATTTCCGTTATTACGATATAAAAGATTGTCACAAAAGTCATTTTGAACTGGATAATTTATGTATAAAATAGATAAAAAACTTGGAAATTTTTTTTCAAATTTAAGACAGAATTAGAATTTACGGACAAAACGACGAAGTGTTTTATATAAATTTACAGCCATGCCGATTAAAACAATATACAAAATGTGCCCGTGTCATGAATAACTCGCGAATGACAGGAGTCAGGACTATAAGCGTAGCGGGCAAATCAATTGCCTTCATATTTCTGAAACTTTTACTCCCCCATATAGAAGTATTTTGTTTTTAACCCTCGACCGGTCGCGTCCGTGCAATTCCAATTTCAGGCCTATTATTTCGAGGCAGAGGGTGTAAGAAGGGTGGATTTTCTTTTATCAACCCTTCACGGAGCAAGCTCATCTTTATTTTCTTTGCAGTTTCAGACTTCCTTGTTCAATTAGGGAGTTTTAATTTGCTCTATACTGTGGTGTGATTGCTCATCTATTTGTCTACCACTTTTTATGAACAGTACCAATACGAAGGACTGGTTGAGGAGGCTATTATTGTAAATTTTTTAAAGGGATTCTAAATAGCATCCTTGAAGTAATGACACAGGCTGAAATGCGTTATCAATAAAAAAGAAAAAACAACAACATTAAAAGACAGGAAGAAAAACCAAATAAAGAAAAAAAGGGACGTAATTCGAGGTGGTTCTGATATATTCTGTGGCACAATAGGGTTTTTGACCAAGTCCAAAATTTTTAATCTACAATTTAATTAAACTTTAAGAATAATAATAAAGAAATATAGACCGAAATAAGACACATAATAAACAAACGCCATCTATGACATTACGTTAATGAGAAAGGTGTGCTAAGATTACTTTGAGAAGAAGGATGGGATTTTGACAATTTTCACGTCATTTTCGTTATTTCTGTCAAAACGTTTTTGACAAATATATTGTCGAGATGTTGGGTTACAAGGACGTCAATCAACCTCATGCTAAATGCGTGGCACACATCAGCATAACCGTATTGCATATTCAATACGCCTTGGTTTTAAAACGGTTCGACTTTTATAATTACCATCCCGCATTTAAATAAATAAAAATTTAAGCGAAAATATGTTATAAATGGTAGAATTTGGTTAATTTGTGCGATTTATTAATATATGTTTTATATACACAATATATACATACACAATATATGTGTTATATACACAATAATCATATTGATATTGTGATGATATGATTAATGATTAATTAATCAAATCATATGTGATAAATTTATTGCCAGCAAGCAGTTTGAACATTTCCTCAAAACGTATTAAATTTTGATTCTTTAATATAAAATACTTTAACGGTAATACATGCGTTAAAGTGTTATTATATTATTATTCGGAGATTGTGAGGTGTGGTCTGGTGACGTAGGTTTTAGAAAAATATTTTATTTATCGTGCCAACGTTTCGATCTTTATTGAGATCACCTTCGGGGCCTGGGATTTATAAACATTGCTTAATTTTTACAAATACATGTAGGATGTGAAAAAATGAATTTATGCATTGCTAGAACATGTTAGATTACAAAAAAGAACGTATACGATGCTAGAAAATTATAGATTTAAAAAAATGAATTTATATAATCATAGAAAATTTTAAATTTAAAAAGACTGAATTTATACAATACTATTGTAGAAAATGTCAGATTAAAAAAAAATGAATTTATATAATGACAGAAAATTTTAGATTTAAAAAAGAATGAATTCATACAATGCTAACATAGTATAAATTCATTCTTCTTTAAATCTAAAATTTTCTGTCATTATATAGATTCATTTTTCTCTTTTTTTTAATCTAAAAAAATTCTAGCTTTGTAAAAATTCATTCTTTTAACATCTACAATTTTCTATCAATATATGAATTCATTTTTTTTAATCTACAGTTTTCTGGAATCGTATAATTTTTTATTTTTAATATAAAATTTTCTAGCATTGTATAAATTCATTTTTTCACATACTACATGTATTTGTAAAACTTAAATAATATTTATAAATCCCAGGCCCTGAAGATGATCTCAATAAAGATAGAAACGTTGGCACGATAAAGAAAATGTTTTTCTCAAACCTTCGTCACACTGGACCGCATCCCACGATCTCCGAATAATCATTGACTAACGGTCACTAAACACCACACACATGTTATTATATTATTAAAGAGAAGCGTTGGAATAATACAAAAATAATGTATACAAGAAATCTTACTTAAGAATTATATGAGGTCCAGTTACTCTTTTAGACTGCAATGCGCACCCCTCCCAATAAAAATTGTTACTTTAAGACGAGTTATTTGATTGGTAACTTATAATTAATCAAAATTATTAGTCATGCGATACCGCACGAGTAGAAGCTGAAATCTCAAAGAAAAGAACTGTCATTTTCTTTTTGGCTTTGCATGGGTCAGCGTATGGCCTGTTTATACTGCGAGCATGCTTGTAGCAACATTTACACATTTCATCATCTTCAAATCCTACCTACTACTTGTACCCTGAAGTATGGGTCAGATCCTTTATATAAGGTGGACGTACAAGAGGGTAGATTCCTCGGTTCGTCGTTGTAAATAGTCCATATTGTTGGGATCCCCTACTGACGCCATTATCTTAACATAAGCTGTCGACACTGCCTATTCTATCCTACATCTCCCCATGAGAAGAAAAATGCTCTAGAGGTCTTCCGTGATGTCGAACATGCTTTCGATCGAGTCTACCTTCTGTGCTAAGAGATCTTTCAGCTATTTCAAAAGGGGGACATATAATATCCATTACTCGTATATCATTCTATACCGACCGTACGATCGCCATTTTATCCTCCGACTCCAAATAGATCGGATGTCATTAAAATACCTTCACAGGTCATAGTTCAACATTTCTTAAAATTAGCAGATCAATTTTAATATTTTAAACAGATTTAGACACCTTTTGTGTGAGGTTGTTTGGAATATTACTAATATCTGTATAATATATTTGGTAACCAGATATGTCAAATATGAAAGTTATTTGATTGAATACAAAATGAGTGCAACCAACCGCGGCGGGATGAAGTAGCTAGAAGCATTTGGCTTAGCAAGTGCCACCAATGTTTTCTCGCGTTGCAACTTTCCATGGGGATTAATTCAGAAAGTTTTCCAGACACGGTTCCAACTTTGGATATCTTCGGAGTGAGGGGGAGGGCAACCGGCTCCGATTACAGTTCTCGTTCGCGGCCGTGTTATTAATCAAACTTTCCAACGGATGGGAGGGAGAAAAAAATGAAGTCAGATGGCTTATTTCGGTCCCAACTTTGTGTGCATGTGTGTAAAATGAATAAATAAACTCACCTGAGGAACGTTTTCCTTAGCGGTGTAGACGAATATGGTCATAGTTGCGGCGATGGCTGTTGAACATTGGAGCTTTAGAAACAGAAGGCAAGAATTATGCTTCCAAAGTCTCACTGCTAGGAGGACCACAGTGAGAACGGACAACGACAGGCAGCAAATACAGCCAACCATGACACTCAAAGATGGTTTCCATTTTAATTCGGCTCTCTGAAAACAAACATAATCCTTATTTTTATAATATTTTCATAAACAAGAAATATATGTTTTTTATATCGTTTGTGACGGTAATAATTTTCTTATATAGATAATATAAATTATAATATAACCATCATGAGACATGTGATAATATAATATGGAATATCGGTGGTCGAGTGGTTAGAAAGTATGTCCCGTATTTGCCGCACTAGCGGTTTAGATTTCGAATCCCGGCAAAGCCCATGGAATTTTAATTGAGAAAAACAAAACATTTTTAATGTAAAATTTTTTGATTTTTCGCCACGACGTCAGCCTTCCAAGGCGGGAATTTCATTTCTTTTACTTTACATTTATATAAGTACAATTTTCTTAGATATCGGTTTTAACTTAACATACCAGAGATGTTATGTAAATAATCTCTAATGTGTAAGTGAACACGAGAGTATAACGAAAAACGTCTAAATAAATTCAGACTGTTTGTACTTTTCATGACATGTACAATTACGACTTTGCAATGTACTTAAAATAATTTACCTCAAGGTCCTTTCCTCGAAACATCTACCAAGTTAGTTGGGTAAGAAGGATTTTACATAATTAGTGTTGTTAAGCCTTCTTCCGTTTAAGAGGTTGAGAAAGTGATAGCGTTAGAAGTTTCAAATTACTACAAAAATTACTTAGAGAAATGTTACGCAAAAAGGATATTTTAAAAAGAATTTTTAAAATTATTTTGTTACATACTTTTGTTCATGTTTGTTGTTTCAATAATTGATTGTCTTTTAATTTAATATGAGTTTGGAAACTAAATTTTTGTTATTACAGTGTTATTTTCTTTAAATCGAATCTAATGATTTAATCTTTTTTGTCACAAATAATTTTAAAACGTTTCCACATATTGCAATATTACCTTGATGTTATGATGATCAATCTTAATATTATATTGTGATCTTTCAATTAATTAAGGTTTTTAGTTATAAATAGTATGAAAAGTCAGTGTCACGAGAGAGATTCGAACCCACGATCTTCGGCTAGATACGCCGCTGCTATACCACTCGACTATCGTGACTTCGATCCAATCGGACATTAACTTCCCATCTCAACCCCACCTTTTCAATTTTCCCTCCTTTTTGCCATTGTTCAGTTGGTCAAGCGGACTACGAAAACTAGTGAATTATAATGTGATTTGAAAAAATCAGAGTATAGGGAATTTGAAATAACGAAACACACTAAGTTCCTTCGAAGAATGTATCACGTTCAACTATTTCTAACGATTTACAAGGTTGACAAATATAAATATCTATTTACCATATTAAAAATTGTCGGTTCGACCATATTTAATTTACGGTTTTAAATTAGTTGAGATCCGTTCATCCTACTTTAGAAGTGTAACTTCCATCTGGTTATCCTAACATGCAAAGCCTAGCACATACCAGAAGTATATTTTATCCTAAATTACAAGAAATAGCAAATAATAATGTCAGTAATAATATTTGCATATTTAATTTCTCAAGAACTCTGTATGTGCGTGTGCAGATTTGTGCTTATAAAATGAGTAATTAGTAATATTTAATCCAGATATACTATAGTTATCTTATACACTCTTGTAATTAGTATACAAAATAGTTGTAATAATTATTATATATAATTTACAATGATTTTTCGTTGGGATATTTTTTTTCTATTAACAGGGTGTTTCCTTATTCAATGCTTTAATTTCACCGGCATATTCTAAGCCTCAAACGAAAGAAAAAACACGGTCCGATTCCCCAAATTTCGCAGATATTCGACATTTTATGTTTTTTAACTTTCTACGGTTCTCGTCCTAAAATTACTTGTATCTCTTGAAATATTCATTTTTGTGCAAACGAAAAAAAAAATTGAGAAGTACTGTTCTAGAAGTTTTAATTTAATATTTCCTTTCAAAACAAACACTAAATCATCAAATATTTCAGGCAAATTAGTTGAGCTAGTTAGAAGTAGAGAATTAGAATTAGAAGTTAAAAATTTATAGCGACAACATAGCTAAATTCATGATAGTAGAAGTAATTTTTAATATTGTAAGTAAATGTTTACATTTGTTAATCGTGTAAAGAATATATATAATTCCAAAGTAATCATGAAGAGGAAAGTTCTAAAGTTGACGAATGAATTGAATTTTTGTGTTCTTTCAAATTCCCCTTATCTCTGATTATCTATATAAAATTTATATTAATTTTTTAATAGAGACGAAATTTTCTGATTTTTTATTTTTGATTTAAAATTAACCTCCACGTAATGCGACCAATAGCCTGTAGCTGGTTCATGGCGTTAAACAATAAACTAATCTGAGTAATAAAACTTATTTAAGGGACTTAAGTACAGATTGGTAAATAATTATTAATAATTGATTTGATGGTTTTGATTAGAAAGAAATACAAAATACGACGGTATACACTAAAATTTACGTAATGATAATAAAATGCCACTGAAAGTGTTTTAAAACTTTATGTCAATTTTGGTGGATATATAAATTCATCTAGACTAGCTACTACAAAATAAAGTAAAATACAACGGTCTTCACGAAAGACTACAAACAATTTTTTCCCTTTTTTACTACAGCCTGCAATTCTTGGTTACAATGTATAATTTGATGTACATAGAATATTTACACCTATTTAGATATTTACATTGCGGGGAACAAATAATCGTTATTATTTTCACACTATGCTTCACTGAATAAACTTCATAGCCTACTACAAAAAAAGGTGGTCGCGGGCCCATTTCCTCTTGAGACGCCTTACACGATTGTAGGAATGTCAAAAATTAAATAATATCGTTCAATTAATTAATCTGTATTTAATTTATTGGTTGAGAAAAAAAGGCAGTGTCACAAGCGGGATTCGCACCCACGACCTTCGGCTAGATACGCCGCTGTTCTACCACTTGAGCTATCGTGACTTCGATCCACTCGGACACTAACTTCCCATCTCAACTCCACCTTTTGAATTTTCCCTCCTTTTTGCCATTTTTTTCAAATGTCGTGTATTCTGTTTATTTGATTCTCGGCGACAAATGAAATTGCTAAGGAGAGCTTTAGTGAAGATATAGTTCATTCAACTTACTAATTTCACTAGTTTTCGTGGCCGCTTGACCAAATAATACCTTTCAATTATTGATTAGCATTAGTTAAGTTAGGATAGGAATCGTCTCAGATTAGGGTAGGGATGATGGGGTTGCTTTTACGCCTAACTTATAGAAATTTTTGAATAAAAAGGACTCTTTTTATAAATAGGATTTTTTTAGCATCATCAAGTTCATTTTATTTTTAAAATGACTCTCAGCTGTTATTATTCATTGTTGTTGATTGGACCATTTATTAAAATTTACGTTTATAATAAATACTTAAATACACTATTTGCGTTTGATGCGCAGGCCACTCCTCGTTTCAAGAGGTTTTCATTTGTGGCCTTTTCTATTATTTTTTATCAATTAATTAATATTTATGTAAGGTATTAGTTGAGATGAAAAGTCAGTGTCACGAGCGGAATTCGACCCACGACCTTCTACTTGAGCTATCGTGACTTCGATCCACTCGGGCAACAACTTCCCTTTTGAGACTTTTATCTCAACCAATACCTTACATACAGATTAATTAATTGAAAGGTATTATTTGGTTAAGTGGACCACGAAAACTAGTGAAATTAAATAATATATTCCCAATAAAAATAAAATAAATAATAATATATTAATATAGTATCTGTTTTTGGTTGATGATCTATTGACACTCATAGAGGTCCGTAATAAAGAGTGGGAGTTTTATAACTGAACTTGCCAAATGGAGTAAAGTGACTAAGTTAATAATCTCTTCTAAAAAGTCCCATTCTTAAAATCGTTTTTTGGCGTTCTCTTACGACTCCACGAATAAAGAGGGTTGTAGTGGGTCTGAAGGTAATGTGGTGATCTTAGGTTATCTGTTATGCCCATTGCCATGTTCCATATTTGATACATCTTTACATCATAGACAAACTCAAGGTTTTTCTTCATCCGTTTTACCTTTCCATTTTGACCTATTTTCGATAAATTTTGTGGGATTGCTTTTTTTTTTTTTTTTTTTTTTTTTTTGCGTTATGAACTATGCATATTAGCCATGTGACATTGCTTTTCAAAATCTAGTATTTTCTTTGATACGGCACAGATATCTAATTTAACTATTTTGGTAAGACCTGTATTTAGTTCATGCCTTCACTGATGAATTTTCTGTTCCTTAACTATATGTTACTTCATAAATGATTTTGGGTCTGACTATTGTAAGGTATGACTATAAGGACAGAAAATTTATTCCACAAGTTTTATGACAGAATTGACATAACATTGGGCTTGTAGTGCTCCGTGCCTTTGTTCAAAAACTATTTATTGATAAATTGATTTTTTTATTCCTCTATATCGCATGGTTAAAGTTTTAATATTTAGTTTTTTTTTCTATTGGTGAATAACACTGCTGTTTTTGTTTTGGAGGAAAATGTTCAGCATGGAAAAAATTGTATTTTAAGGCAAATTGTTTAATGGAAAATGTACCAATTCAATCATTCATATATTAAATTTTAAAACGAAAGGAAATTGTTATGATTTTTTTTTACAATTAACATATAAGATGATTTTTAAAATGGAAAATGTCGCACGTATAGGATTCAAACCCTCCCAATTGTGAGTAACGTTTAAAGTTTTGGAGGGGAGATAATTTTGTATTCTCATTATCTCTAACTTTCATGATTATCTTATTTAATATATAAAAAATATTGGCTGATTTATCATTTATAGTTCATTTCTAGTTGATTGATATCTCCATTTATCACACACTCTGTTTCAATATGTAATTTCATCTTTGCACAGTTTTAATCAAATTCGCAATTAACTGCATTTGAGTAAATTATTAAATTTGCCATAATTGGTTCCTACGTCCCTTATATTTGATTGCACAACGTTCTTGACGGCAAAGATCGAATAAATTATTTGTGCCGAGAAGCATAGAAACACCGTGCACGGTATGCATTACTTTCAGCTATTGGTCAAAAAATCAAGAAAAATCGTAACGTTTTTGCCTTATTCGTTCTAGGAAAATAAACCGATGATGAAAGCAATACTCTTAGTATCTTACTTTAATATATATAGATATCGTTCTGACCTTGTACGGCGCGTGCAGTTGTGGATCTAAGGCGGCAAACACACCTTGATTCGGACAAAAACAAACTGTTTCCGAGTTGACCTTCACCGTGGAATTGCAGTGATCCAGATCCCAATCCTGGCCGGAAAACGTCCTGCCGCAAAATGAACCCTCAGGCATCGTAAACTGGGACGTGAGAATGAGCCCACCAGTGCTCATCGCGCTCACCACAGGGCCCAGGACGCTGAATTCCAGATCCCTTCCATCCCTGAAAAAATAAAACAGAATATATAATTGCCACATTTATTTTCATCTTTTTAGTATATTTGTACACCAAAAAATTGTTATTTTATTGCATATGTCAATGTTTTTGGTTCAATAGTTACGACAAGTTTATACCGAGTCTGATTTGCATTTAAAAAAAAGAAAGATATTTGTTGGTCTCGTGAATTAAAAGTCTCTTGTTGATTGTTAGTAAGTAATACCGTACGATTGCAAAAGTGGACCGATTGATCAGAAAAGAACTGCAAAATTACCCCGATTCTTTTATTCCCTCGGAAAAGGCAATAGCACATTTCTAATTGATTATCTCCGCACAGTGCATAGAAATAATGCGGTTGGTCGATGAGTGTCGATTGACTGAAAACAATCAATGAAACCATCGGATATTACACTGATCGAATCGTTTATTCAAGCGTGTAAAGCATTCGAATCTTGTTTTGAAGCTGGGCGGAATCGCTTTGTCGTCATATCAATTACAAAACGATGGTGGACTCAACTATTGACAAGTAGGTCTGTGCTGTACTGAGAAAATGCCATTAATAGTTTAAATTAATATATCGTAAACAATCTGCTTGTCCAAAATATAAAAAGACGTCCTTCATTTCTTTGTATCAATCATTGAACGGTGTTCTCTATATTTTTTGTTCTCTTAGCTACATGGTCATGACAATACAGCTACATTCCATACATCAAATATTTTTCATAGTCTAATAGTCCAACAATTTAGTTTTCCTTTTCCTATTTATCCCTTTCTATATAATCCTGAAAGGATAATCTGGTCGAACCATTACCAACACATTGTTTCCCTTCGTCGGCTCTTTTCCCCTCAAAGAAGCCTACGCCTTATACAAAAATGTCTTCTCTATACCGACTTCCTTCCCCACCTCTTCAAAATCCAACGTATATAAACATAAAACAGCAAAATCTCACTGGCACTCTCAAAACGACACGGAAGAATGGCACAATTGCACAGAAGACAAACACTTTGAGTGAGTAGAAATACTTTTTTTTAATATAAAAAATATATTTCCACATCCTAAATGTATTTGTTAAATGTAAACAATGTTTGTAAATCCCAGGCCCTGAAGATGATCTCATTAAACATCGAAACCGTGGCACGATAAAGAATATGTTTTTCTGAAACCTACATCACACCAGACCGCATCTCACGATTTCTGAATAATTATCGATTAACGGTCACTAATCACCACACATTACAACCTACGTCACAGCATACTTCATTTCACGATCTCCAAATAATCATCCACACATTATTGTGAAAATGAGTCATCGGAGTCACAAGAAGGCGGATCTTGCAGTGGCAGTTGGCGTCTCTCAGAGGGTTTTTTCGCCCGATTCCGAGAGATTGGAAATGCCAATAGAAGGCCTATTGGTCTCAGCGCATTATGACGCTAGGGGAGGACACACTGTCATTGCTGCAAGACGGAACCCCTTCAACACTGCCTGCCAGATCGTAAATGAAGAACAAGATATTTTGGCAAGGTCTTTATCAACACAAACGATTGGTAATCGTTTGTGGAATGTTGGCCTCAAACATTATGCCATTTTGAGAGTACCAAAGCAACAGCTCGCTACCAGCAACTGAAGAGAATATTGTGCAGCGAGCGCCTAGAAGAGAATATCAATCGGAATGATGTTATGTTTACTGGTGAGTCGCGTTTCTGTATGTAGTGATATAGTTTTTCAAGGCTATTTTAAAGTTATCAGAAGAGTGAAATGTGTTTAATTTGCGAAATCGGCCGTGAAATAATATCATAGATATATTTGTGCGTTTGTCTGTGTTATGCCCCCCTTACCAGTTAGGATATTAGGAAATAATTCAAAAATTCCATAACGTACGCTTAAGCTTTAATATTAAAGTTCTACGCTAATTTCCGCTACAGCTAAACAGTTACTATACGGAACATTCCCAAATTCCTTACGCTAGATTTAGGGGAACCGTCGAGCCAGATTACTTCAAGATTGAATAAAATGAGCTCCTACCTAGGGCCAGCACAGAGAGCAGGGTCATCCACATTCTTCAATCGGTTTCACCTTTTCCACTGGTCTTGCTTCGCACTCGGTCAGTTGTCCACTGAACTCTCTCTCTATCCTGGCCCCGAGCAGGCCAGACGCACAGTCATCACTTCCATTGTTTCCCCGGCTCGACGTTTCCCTTTTAATTATTCAACTAACTATTAACTACATATTTCACTGCACTACAGTCTGTGTTTGATAGACCTGATGTAGCTTTTTTTATTTATTTATTTTATTATTATTTTTTTTTACATAAGGGTTCGCAACAGCAGAGGTTATATCAACCCTCGGGGTGCCGGTGTTTTTAAAAAAAAGCACATTTGTAAGTCGGGTTCGAATGCAGGGCCGCTGGATTCGAACCCGGGTCCTTCACCTTACAGTAATGAGGGCCGTGTCAAGGCCTAAACCGTTGCGGTCACCGACGCCTCCCTTTTGTGTAGTTGGTGTTACTATTGAGTTGTAGATACATCTATACAGAAAACATACTCTTTGAAATACTTTGATTAAATCCATTATATTTCGTGCTCCGATTGACCAATAACTTCTTTCAATTAATTAATCTTTATGTAAGGTATTGGTTGAGATAAAATAGTCAGCGTCACGGGCGGGATTCGAACCCACGATCTTCGGCTAAATACGCCGCTCCTCTACCACTTGAGCTATCGTGACTTCGATCCACTCGGACCCAACTTCCCATCTCAACCTACATTTCGAATTTTCACTCCTTTTTGCCATTTTTCAACTGTCATGTAATCGGGATTCGATTCTCAGAGACAAATGGTGTCCGAGAGGATTGAAGTCACGATAGCTAAAGTAGTAGAGTAGCGGCGTATTTAGCTGTATATGGGTTCGAATCCCGCTCGTGACACTAACTTTTTCATTTCAACCAATACCTTACATAAAGATTAATTAATTGAAACTTTGATTAAACCAAAAATTTGTATATTGAGTACATCTTTGCATAAATTCGTATTCATATCTCATATGTATTTGCATGATTTAAACAAGGCCCTGAAAATGATCTCAATAAAGATCGAAACGTTGGCACCTTAAAGAAAATATTTTTCAAAACGAACATCACACTAGACCGCATCTCACGATCTCTAAAATATCATTAATTAACTGTCACTGAACACCACAAATGTATGATGATTTTAACAATTTAAAGATGATTTTAATGATGTTTACATTTATGTGTTATTATCACAAATAATGATCTTTGTAAAAAGGTTAGCACTCAATATGACGTAATTATTGTAGGCATATATTATAATAGACTAATTTATTGTCGTAATATACAGTGCATTTAGACAGGTCGATTTACAAATAAATTAACAAAATTAGACTTAAGAATAATTATCAAATTAACACAATAAGGTATCATGGCCTTGAAGAACAAAACAATTATTAAGATCGTAATACGTTTTTCCCTGTAAATGTATCTTCAAAGCCCCCACTGGACAAAATATTATACGTGTTGATACTAGTGGTCAGCATTGAAAATTAAGTTCTCATGTGGGAAACACATTTGTTAGACCATCGACTATTATTATGACCTGACCATAAATCATTCTTCGAGCGAGTATTATAAGAATGAATTTTTAAATTAGTTGGGAAAAGTATTTGATTAAAAAAACAACAACATGAAAATGCCAATTCTATAAATGAATAGGAAGGTTACGGTCATTATTTTGTTATTTACAAAAATCTGACGGCAAGAGCGTTGTATTCATACTGCATACGTTGTTCTAAATGGGAACAATTTTTTGTTGTTCTAAAGCGGCAGGGCTATTTCCCTAAAAAAAAAAAACTAGACCATACTAGAGCAATGATTCAAAATTTTTTGTGTACAACATTTTATGAATTTGTCGTCTCGTGGAATTAGCCAGTATCCACGTTGAAAAAACAACCTTGTTTAATTTTGGTATGAGTTCATTTGTATGAGTTTCTTATATCAAGGAGGAATCAATATTCCGCCCCAACATACTTACTGAGCCGGCCCAAGACAATTCCAGACTCCAAATATTTAGAGATAGGTGGTCAATTTTATCAAAGTCGAAGTTCACAAAAACCTTTTTTCATGTTGATTTTCAATCCATAGTGATGCATCCAACTTTTTGTTTAATGTAACCACTCATTTATATTTAAACTAAGTACAGTCGGAGTTCAAACGACTGTAATGATAGGGGCATCATCCCAAAATAGAAACGAAGATCCAACCTTAACACAACTGACCAATTCATTGATGAAAACGTTAAGTAAAAGAGGCCCCAGAAATGATCCCCGTAATAATGGGAATTGTGGTAGAGGAATGCCTATTTACAAATACTTTTTGATAGCGTCCAAAAAGGTATGACCTAAATCAATCCAGGAAAAACACGTACACCAAAATATTCAAATTTAATAATTAATAAGCCATGATTGACGAGGTCAAAGGCCGTAGATCATTTTTGAACCAATTACTTTCTCAGGGAAGCCTATTAATTTTTCATTGACTTTATTAAAAATAGATAACAGGACTGTAGGGCTGTAATCAGTCATATCATGCCTGTTACCTTTTTTATGAACAGACACAACCTTTACTGTTTTTTGTTTTACTAGGTGGAAGTCAGATACGAATATGCAATTATACGAACACGTATAAATATAGTATTCCTAACGCATTTAAAATCAAATTTCAAGTACGTTTTTTAAACTAATTATAAACGTTCAAACTCATAAAAGTGTTTTTATTACAATTATTAAACCAAGTTCAGTATATTGGAAAGACGCGCAAATTCGTTTTTAAAAGCTGACCTATGAAGAATAAGGGTTTAATCTCTCCACTATGGGCAAAAACAATGAAATTTCAAATTTAGTGTAAGTTTAGTTGCCTATCTAAACAAGGTATTAAAAATATATATTACTAACTATACTATTTGTACTACATATTTGTATATGTACTACTAC